CGAAAATTGTAGAAGCAATTGCATTGACCAAAGGACTGGTTCTGCAACTTTTGTACTTGGTCATTCACAGCGTAGTAGGTGGCCCTACCAGTGATTGACGCAGAGTCTAGGGGGGGAAGGTTGTCCTCGTCGGAAGGGATTTACCAGTGAGTAACGTCTCATTTCAATTTTTTTTTCGTTTGTTGGCCATCGAGACGTGTAAACCAAAAACATCTAGTCTGTTACACACTGAGCGAAGCTCAGAGACGAGTTATTCCCCAGACCAGTGTTCGAGCCATAACTGTTTGCAAGGAGGACAGTTACATGACCTCATGGTTCGGCCGCGGAAGGGAATGCTCAACTCGACTCCATGAGACTCTTCGGTCTTCAGCTTTGACTAAGTCTCAAGATTTCATTAATTGTAGAATTGAGTGTTTCTAGTTGTAAAATTATACGAAGATTCTGACACTGCTTTAAAATGAAGCATGAAAATTTATAATCATCATAATTCTCGGTGGCAATTCAAAACTGATGTCTGCTCGCAAAACATGCTTCACGCAGAGAATTATTTTCAGCCGCAGAAGCAGTTTGTTTATCAAATAAAAGCGCTTTCATTGCTTTCTTGGAATACTTTATTGGAACGTACCATTCTAGCGTCACCGGAAGGTAAATATGGGCATCGAATTCGGTCTTATTACTTTGAGTTGAAAAGAGGTGCTAAGCAATCTTAAATTTCTTCGTCATTGTTTAATGAGGTGAAGTACAAGCGGAACAGCTGCCTCGATTTCAGATAAGCATTGTTTGTAAATGAACTGGCTGTCTTAGCTCAAATCCTGAGGCACCATTGGAACAGGAATCTGGACTGAAGGTGCGGGCATGAGATTGACATTGATAGTTCCTTTTGTTCACTAATCAGGACCAACTTAAATGGATGGCGTAGGACATCTTGTTGGAAGAGGTTCTTTAACAACTTTAACCTTGACTCTTCGTGCTGTTGGTGGTTTTTCCATGTTTCGTTTAGCAAGTTTATCTTTCTGATGAGAATAATGGTAATATAGGATCAGAGAAAACGCTGTAAAAAATCGTTTTCGCCATCTGGTGTAGCCTGAGGGCAGCATAAATGCACCATTTAGTAAGTAAAACATTGCAGAATTGAAAATGGGAAAAACTAAGGATAGTAGAGGTAATTGGAGTTCGTAGAGGCGATGGATTCATCTGTAGGTGGTAGAAGGCACGTTTGAAGAGAGTATTACTGCGACATTGAGCAGGGCTTAGGGCCAGTATTATTGGCAGTCAATCCTGCTGAGGTGAAATTAGGGAACATTTCGTGATTCATTGCCTAAAGTAAGAGTTAAGTTAGCAGTCACCGTATCGCATAGCCTCTCTCCTCTTTTGAGTGTTGTCATCGCCTTTCCCTTTGGCCAGCCTCCTGCGTCAGTCAACACAACGTAGTCGATGCTGCAAAAAAAATCCACCAACCAATAGCTCCAGCCACTAAATTTGTGTACAAATAAGAATTCGCTTCACCTCAGACCGCGTCGTCTTGTTTCCCTCCTGAAGTATTCGGAGTTTGGCTGTTTGGTAGCTGTATTTTGGCGAAAATGCAAAAAGCGGCATGTCTACCTCCATTCGTAGAGCATAATTGTGTAATGGAGGAAGGGATTTAACAGTTGCTTGGCCTCGTAGCTTCAATTTCATCTCTTCTTCTCACTTGGTCTTCAATTGAGTGTTGCACATTCACAAAATTCCGTTACTCTAGTATGTACAGTGGACATCTAATTTGCTAAAATTTTGAGATAGTTGGCGACTTTTGTCAATGGTAGACTTTGTTTCCAACCCTTCTTCTGCCTCACTAAAGCTTATCGCCTAACAGTCAAAATCAGGACAGCGCCTTCGAGATAGCGATTGTTTTCTACTGTTGCAAATACACCGCCCCGAGGCCTCCCTGGGGACAAAGGAATGTAGAATACTCAGGCAGAATAGGATATATCGTCTGACAGTAGAGTCCAGTCTGGAGGGAGGCCAGACCGATTGGAGAAAACACAATAGCAAA